CTACTATATATATATATATATATATATATATATATATATAGGGATTTTCTAAGGTTAACAACCCCACAAATTATATAGGTTCAACTTAAAGACTTTGTGAACCGTATTTTTACTTTTACTACTCCTATTTTACTTGAAGAACAAAGGATATAGAAGGGCATTTTAGACTTTTTAGTTGAAATTTAAAGCATATCTCTTTCACGCCTTCTTATTCTTTCCCTCTCCTTGCTGTCTCCCATCCTCTCTCTTTATCTCTCTCCTTTCCCTCCCCCATCTTCGCTCTCTTTTGACCGGAAATCACTCATATGGGATTGAGAGAGAGAGAAAGAGAGAAATAATATGAAGGGGGACAGAAATGAGAGAAAAAGAATAGGAAGGGGATAGCAAGGAGAGAAAAATATAGAAATAATAGGAAATGGGACAGCAATGAGATAAAAAGAATAGGAAGGGAGACAACAAGGAGATAGATAAATAAAGAGTGAATGGGGGACAGCAAGGAGAGAGAATGTGAGATAAAAAGAGAGAAGAAGGGGGACACCAATGAGAGAGAAAGAATAGGAATGCGTGTGAGAGAGAGAAGAGCTTTAAATTTCAAAATTCAATTTTTTACATGTTTGGAAGTAAAAAGTCCAAAATGCCATTTTGTATCCTTTAGTCTTCAAGTAATATAGGAGCAGTAAAAGTCAGAATACGTTTCACAAGAGTCTCTAACTTGAACCTATGTCATTTTGGAGGTTGTTAACCTTAGAAAATATCATGTATATAAAAGTCATTGAAGCATCCATGGTCCACTTCAAAACTCCCAAAATTCCTATTTTCCCTGCAACTTTCCCAACGAACTCTCTCTCTCTATTCCCTGCGAACTCTCTCTCTCTCTCTATATGCCCCCTCCCTCTGCAACTTTCCCATCCCTTGTGCCTCTCTCTCCCTTCTCTCTGTAAACCTGGCGCCCCTCTCTCTCATCGCCCCCATTTTCCCATTTTCCCTGCAACTCCCAAAATCTCATTTTCCCATTTTCCCTGCGCCTCTCTCACGCTACTGCCCTGTAGACCTCACACCCACTGTCCCACTGCCCCCTCGATCTGCATAAGCAAGCCCCTCACGCGATTTTCAAGTAACAACTATCCATTTCTCATATGCTTCACCATTTTACCATGACCATTATACATTTTACTGATGGATGCCATTTTTCATTTTAATGATGCTTATGATGGATGTCATTTTACATTTTACTGATGTGCCATTCTACATTTTACTGATGCTTATGATGGATGCCATTTTACATTTTACTGATGGCACGTATGGATGCCATTTTACCGTGATTACCTATGAACGAATCAATGCTTGAATGTCTTACATAGAGCACAAAAATTTCTTTAGATATTTGTATCTCACAAATTTTGTGGCCACATTTGGGGGTTTCGGTTTTGCAGTGTTTCAATGTCTTACACAAAGCACATAAATTTCTTTAGAAATTTGTATCTCACAGATTTTTTGTCCACATTTGGGGGTTTTGGTTTTTCAGTGCTTCAATGTCTTACACAGAGCACATAAATTTCTTCGAAAATTTGTATCTCACAGATTTTGTATCCACATTTGGGGTGTTTCGGTTTCTCATTGCTTCAATGTCTTACACAGAGCACATAAATTTCTGTAGAAATTTATATCTCACATATTTTGTAGCCATATTTGGGGGTTTCGGTTTTTCAGATCTTCAATGTCTTACACAGAGCACATAAATTTCTTTAGAAATTTGTATCTGACAGATTTTGTTCCCCCATTTGGGAGTTTCAATTTTTTAGTACTTCAATGTCATACACAGAGCACAAAAATTTCTTTAGAAATTTGTATCTCACAGATTTTGTGACCACATTTGGGGGTTTCAGTTTTTCAATGATTGAATGTCTTATACAGAGCAACTAAACAATTGTGGATGTCATTTTACCATGGCCATTTTACTTTTTACTGGTGCTTTTTATGGATATCAATTTAACATGGTTTCTTATGGATGAGTGATGTCATTTTACTGATTCTTTCTTATAGAAGAGTGATGTCATTTAACATGGGCTTGTGTAACACAATCAGTCTGTCAATGAAAGAGTTTTTTATTTTTTTGATTGGTTAATTTTGTATTTGATTATGATATACAAGGAAAATTCATTTCCATTGTTTCCTTTTTATGAAATTGGCATCCAGGTCTAGACCTTTGAATTATATGGCATGTCATCAGTTTCCACAAGTGTTGGAGGATATCAATGGCGAACCTGTCCACGGTGCAATCTACAATGCAAATTAAGTACATAAAGCTCCCAATCTAACCCTGGAAGAATGTACTATCGGTGTACAAATTGTACTTTTTTTCAATGGTACGATGAATACTTGGAAGGGATGAATTACAATATAAACTTGAGACGTTGCAATATACACCAAAACTATCGGTCACAAGAATCGCAAGAGCATACATGGTCAAGCCAGAACCGATGGTTTTTCAACAATAAATTAATGATATTTTAGGGTGTATGCAACAGTTTTTAGTTTTCTTGAGTGTAGCGAATGCGTTTATGTTTGTATTGCTTTTATTGAAAATTGTTTGATATGACTAAATTATGTCACAAGTTTACTCCCATCATATTTGAGTATGCAACCAGTTTCAACAATGACTGATATAAAGGTTCTTTCAATTTATTTATGCTTGGCCATTGGTGCATGTTAGAAGCCAGTCAAGGTCTCTCTCTAATTAGAAATGCAATGGTCATTGTGATAGAAAGCTGTGATGCATATCATAACAAAAAAAATTCTCCCATAAACCTTGAGTTTTGTGAAATCCATATAGCTGTGAAAGGGATCACATCATAACAAAAAAATTTCCCATGATCTATAATTGCATAAACCATTAAAGTCCTTTCTATTAACATTATAAAACAAGCGATGCAGTCGTAAAATCATTGTGGTGACTGTTTAACAGCAATTGGTAGCATATTTCAATGTGTGCAAGCACCACACACCATTAGGCTCCATTCTACTGCATTGAACAACACCATGAACCATATAA